AATTGAGAAATGAATCTGAACGACTACAAGCCACATCTAATAATAATGAATTGATTAGGAAACAAGAAAGTATTGAAAATAAAGCCAAATTTGCTAAACTTGAGAATGAAAAGGCAGATTTGGAATTGGAAATCTCCAAGTTAAAAACAGCATTTGAAAAATATGAGAATGGCGGAAAAGAAAAGACATCTTTGGAATTGGAAATATCTAAATTAAACGTTTTTCATCATGAGAAACTTGAAAAGGTCGAGAAAGAAAAAGCAGCTTTGGAATTGGAAATTTCTAAATTGAAAGTTGGCTATGATGAAAAACTTGAAAATATTGAAAAAGAAAAAATTTCCTTGGAATTGGAAATTTCTAAATTGAAGCAAGAATATGAAACTTTATTAGACAAATGTCAACCAATGGTAGAGTTTGAGGAATCTAATAGTGATGACATTAATAATAGTAGTATTAGTGATGATAGTATTAATCTAATTTATATTAGACAAATTGAAGAATTAAAAGAAGAGCTTGAAAAAATTAAACAACAAAATGATTTATTATCAAAAAATAACAAATATAAAGAAAGAACGAGAAGAGAAGATGATAAAATTATTAATAATGGTAATCTATTATTACCAGCATCATCTACTACTAATCAATCTTCACCCGACCAATTTTCATCTAATCAAAATTGTTATTCACCAACTGAAGAATTAAACGATCCTATCACTGATAATAATAACATAGTGTCCATAAGTCCAGTAACAAGTTCAGATATTATGATTGCTCATTCACAACGAATAAATGCTACAATTCAAACTGCTACGCTTATAAAACGTGCAACTTTGACTACCCCTCTTAATTCTACTACACTTATTCCTAATTCAACTAATAATAATAATGAATTGAATAATTCTTCTCCCTCGCAATCTTTACAATCTTTATCATCAACACCACCTTCATCTAATATTCCATCATATCAAACCTATGTTAAGAAAAGATCACAGCATCAATTATCTTCTTCATTTTCTTCATCAAATATATCATAATAATAATATAATAGTATAACAGTATAATAGTATTCCATTTATTTATTTATATACATACTATCTAGGAGCC